AAAAAAAATCATTTAGTATTTTGTCACACAGTTTATCTTAAATCACTTGGTTAAAATAAAGGAAAAAAAAAATAATCAAATAATTTAGTTCCGATAATCTGACATGGCTCAAGCTACTTGGGTAAATTTAAGGTTTATCCCGCGGGTAATATACTATTATATCGAAATATGCACAAATCCGGTATAACCCTTTAATGGTTTTGTATATATCGGACTTAAAATGACGTTAATCAAAATAAAAATAAAAATATTGAATTTTGTGAATGAACAGTATTATAATATATTGCGTACATTCGTAACATATATCACTAATAAACTGGTGACTAGAATAATATTGTTTCGTTGTTAATTTGTGACAGTTGTGTAACACTGATTTCGGCCGGCATTAATCATTTCTTGTGTTTATGAAACCTTCGTATAATAGATATATTTTACCTACGTATGGTAGATAAAAAAAATATTATTTATTAATAGTTTGTATTCAAATTACATAAAAATTAAGAAACACCACTCACTCGATTCAAACCCTAAATAAGTATGGGCAATATAAACGTATTTACTAGGTAGGTAGGTACAGAAATTGAGTGCTATTATAAATGGACACTATATTATATTATAGTATTTAATTACGAATATATTCTCAAAAATAATTGTATATTGCCTCTCTATTCGTTCATCACTACATCAACAGCTGGTCTTGTATTACTGTTATACACTAATATTGTACATTAAGTTGATTAAAACGGGAAAAAGAAAAATACTGATTTAAAAAAATATTTAAATGTTCTGGTTTTCTGGACTTACTTTTACTTAAATTTTCGGGTAAACTATACTATAATTATAATTTATAATGTATCTATTATAACAAAAAAATTATTAAATAGACTTTTAAATTGGACGTATAGATTGTAGTAGATGAGGATACTTAATATAGGAAATTTTTAATTTATTAAATTAATTTTTTTTAGAGTTAATGTATATACATTTTTTTTTTAAATATTAATTATTTTAAAGATTAAATATTGAATGTTAAATGTTTGAATTTAAGGTTTATTTTTAACTTTTTTTAATTTAAATAATTTATATATTAATTAATATTTTAACTTTAACATCAACTAGTTTACGCAGGTACTTAAATATTAATTATTAATTTCATAACAAAATTAAACATTTCTATTTTATAATAACCATAAATATGAAATGCCACTATATTTTTTCTTTTGATTTAAACTCGGATAATACATTTTTAGTTTTGATTTATTATTGAGTATAGACTCAATATACATATAAGTCATAGATAATACTACATTTTTAGATTTTAATAATGTTATGACGTACTCGTATATAAAGAGCAACTTAAAATTGTAAAAATATGATGGTAAGTTTACCTTAAATTAAGTTTTAACTATCGATTTTAACATAAAAATTTGACGATTATTGATTTATCATTGCATTCAAAATGTAATACTAAATTGAATTTGCTACGTTTAATGAAATAAAACAAAACTGTTGCAGTTTTTTTTTTTTATTTGTAAATCACATTCTATTATATGGCATATTCACAATCAAATGTAAAACTATACATGAGAGTTTTAGAACAATGATACTCGAATAAAAATCATTTTCAATCTTGAAATGATAATGAATTTTTAAGCGAATTCCCTGGAAGTTTTGTACTGTTTTTGCCCTGTTACCAACAATTTAATTGACAATTGAATAGAATTTGAAAATATGAACTTTTAAGACAAGGATTTATTATTAAAGTTTAAAAAAAAACTTTCAATGTACATACTCCAGACAATGTTTAGTGTTCTTTAAAACAAATAAAGTCCAAATCATCTTAAAACCAATAGCTAACATTGCTTTAGCTGATCAAAAGCTTAAACGTCGACGACTATAACAAAGTTTTTTTTTTTTATTGGATGAATTACTAAAACGTCTTGAGTTCAATTTATTCATTGAAATATTTTATGTATACGCTATAATGAGAATATAAAATATTATCTATAACAGCTGTTTTGTAAAACATATAATGAAATTAACTCCAAACTGTATATCACAAAGGGACATGAGAAAAACAATTTGTTTGTGATAAAATAAAATGTAGTTAATTTTTTTTTAGATACGTATTGTAATATTATAATATATTATACAGTTAAGAAAATGTCTTACCTATACAAAACCATTTTGGTATGAATTCTGAATTAAACATTTTAAAATATATAATATTAAAAGCAAGTTATGATTCTTTTTATATTAAATCATTGTTTTGAACATTTATAAGGTAATGCAATGTTGGCTTTCTATTACCTGCATATTACATTAATTATTGCTATTATTGGCTTATTGTAGGTACTCCAAAACGCACGTGGCTAGATCGAAGTACTCTCATAATATCACGAAATGTCGTTAACTTTAATGTTATATTATTATGCTTTTTTTTTGGAATGCAAATCAACATTACGCAATTATTTATGTTGTAATAATTAACGAGTACCTATCTAAGTCAACCATTACCGCGCACTCGTTTAAAACACGCATTATATGCGTATTAGTTAGGTATAATATACCTAAGGGTTACAGAATTTATAATAACTGGCGTGATAATAAGTCCACAGAAATCGTAATATTATTAACACAAATATAATATTAGTCATAACATAATTAATAAAAATAATAATATTGAACACTCACAATGTACGGTAGACATACACGTGAAATGAAGAAATTTCGATATTTCCGGACGGTCATCGTCATTTTCAATAATACCCACGAATGAGTATTATTGACGTGAACACAAGATAAATAATATAATATTAATCGTAAAATAATTATCAAATTCGATCGTGTCTTGTCTCTCATCAATCAACCATATAGCTAATATTTGTTTCTTGTGGTTTTTTTCCCTTCAGAACCGTCTACTATGTATAATACACAACACATTGCACAATCGGATTTAATCTAACGGGTGGAGGATAAGGGGTTTAATTAAAATGTTTATTACACACCTATACAAGGGATTCAACAGGACTCATCAAAACCACGCCCTATTAAACCATGTGATGTGCCTATTAATAACAATAACAACTTACGCGTGAAATTGCATAGTATATTATGATGGTCATTTTGTAAGTTATATTATTGAACAAACCACGGGTTCGGTTGGGCATGCGATATCTCTTCTGGGTATAGAACAATTTAAACGCCTTTGAACGATAACGTAATAATAATAACACTGTCGATATTTCAAACGGGTTATCGTAAAAGCAGTGTGTTTAATACATTTTTACAACAGCTTATAACATTTGTTCAATGCGAAGTTTTGTAGTTTCGTTGACTACAAACCGCAGTATGAATTATGTAACAGCAATATTACGCGGCTGTACCATAAACTACCGCGGTAACGTAAATAACGATGGTACTTAACCTATCACATTATGACGTCTTATCGCAGTCGCTTGACAACGATTCGGCAAAAACCTCGACTTACTTATACATTATTATTATGTAGGCTATGACATTATGGTCGATCGCACACGAGTTGATGGCATAAAACGTCGGCTGACCGTGGCTAACTAGCGCGTACGACCATCGTCCGTCGTGTTTGGTTTTCATCGAGACATTTGCCGGAACATTTGGCACGGGAAAAATCGTACGTCGAGCTAAACACACAATTCTGCCACTGTCCAAGACACGCGCCGGTCGTATAACCGCGGTTACGACCACATTATATATCTAAATAATTTATGTGCGTATAAAACGGCTTGGTTCAAACGGCCGTACCTATTGATGTATGTATATATATATATATATATATATATATATAATATATACCTATATAGTGTACGGATAAATGTATACCTATAAATATATAAATGTGTGTGCGTGTGTATGTATACACGTGCATATACATACTTTGACTTTCGTAGGGTGTGGTGTAATTTCATCGCCTCGGTCACCGGTGTTTGAGATTTGTGCGCGAAAAACTTTTTAACCAGATCAATATATCGATTCTCTTTTTTTTTTTTTATCACCAAAACGAAATCTCACCACTACGTGTTTCATTACAACCAAAAAACTTTACATGTTTAATAAGTTTTCTTTCTACTCACATTGTTTTACGAGTATCTGCAGGGTATACCTGCAGCTATTGAAGTGTATAATATTATATGCGATATATACTACGTATGTATATTTGCAGTATTGTAAAAATTTGAATAAATGTATCCAAACACTTTTTTTTTATTCGAATACTATTTTAAATAATTTTTTCGAAATATTATTTGAATACGTAATCTGAATAATTGTTCTTGTGTTTTTGTTATTTATTAAAAAAACACTTTTTCACTCTAAAAGTTATAGAAACAATTTTTTTAGGCACATTATAAATCAAGAAAATTAGTGATGTATTATTAACTACTGTACAAATATATTATTATAGTGTTAATTACCAACCATTCCGAGACTAATCATCACTAACCATCTCTAATGATCAATATTGTTCAATTTCAATTTATTTTTATAATTAAAACAAATATCTTAAAATGTTAGTTCAGATTATAATCTAAGTAAAAAAGCTTTTAAAACTGAATCGAAATAAAGATAATCCAAAATAAACAAAATCAAAATTAAGTTTATACTAAACTATTTTAATAACCCTATAATACATTTTTAATTTATTATTATTGAGAACATATTCTTTAAATAGAATTTCTTAAAATCTGACTGATTTACATTACACATTTATCTTTGGAAATTTGCATTTTCAGTATATTTAAATAGCTTATGAATCTGAAAAGATAGGTTAGATTAAATATTTTTATTTAAAACGTATTGATTTTTTTGGTTTACAAGACTACAATCATACCTACATTAAAAAATCATTGATTAAATTATCAATATATATTCTTTAAACTCGGGAAATTATTAAGAATTAGATGTATAATACTTATAAGTTTCATGATAGAATACATTAAAAAAAAATAGTTTTAAGTACATACCTGGACATTGTGAACACTTCAATTCGTCGGTGTGGTCTTCACAGTCAAAATGCCCATCACATTTCCAGTCCATTGGAATACATCTCTTTTTATCACATCTAAAACCTTCATGACAAACTGAAAATATAAAATAATATATTTTTTATAGATAAAATTCATTCAATAATCAATACATAATTAACAATTTTTTGTTATAAAATGATATAATTTTATTTGATTTTATAATTAAAAATACATGCACGAAAAATTAAGGTGGTATGCAATTAAGTGAGAAATATCAATAAAAATCTTTAATTATACAATATAATCTATCCATGATGACAACCAATTGTATAAAAATGTATTTAAATAGTTAAATGAAAATATGTTTTGGGTTTGTTGAGTATTCGTAAAATGTATTCACCTATGATCTAAAGCTAAAACAAAATCTTTTAGTGCACATTGTACAACAAAACATAATATAGGCACTCCACATTATCAAAAGTATAATAAGATTTAAGTCTTAAGAAACTACAGAGTATAAATTATTAAGTCTTACATCAAAAACAATATACATTAAAAAATAAACTATACAAAGTTTAATTTCAACGTAAGGTGAGATTAGTCTTACAATGTTATTTTTTATTTAAGTACAATAAAGATTAGTATTTTATAAATTAATATATTTCTTTTGAAAATATACAACACATTGCTTTACTATAGTATTTTAAATAATACATTATTAACAAGCACGCAAATTTGTACCGATTAATAATAATTATGTTTAGTGGAGTCAAATTTCATATTTTACTAATCAGAGACAAAATGTCAACTAACCGGTAACAAATAATAAATGTTTATCCGATACAAAATGTATGACTCATATGACCATACTATAAATAAAATATAATCATAATAATATTATTTAATATTGATATTTATAAATTACAAGTGAAGTTGATTCTGTTTAAAATTAATACATAAATAGAATCTTAACCGAGTTTAAGATATTAACCTATATAAGATTAACCAGAAATTAGAAATCTCAGTTATAGATTTATCATTATATTTATTTTACCAAAATTAATGTAACTCCGTCAGTATTTTAAATTATATTTGAGCATAAAACATAAAACACTAAATAAAGAACTAAATATATATTAAGTTATACAAAAAGTTAGTGAAAATGATCCATTGTAATTTTTATTCTACATACATTTAAAAACAAAAATGATAAAACAATTTGAGATAATGTGATACGTTATATATATTATTAAAGTATGAAATAATAATAAAAATAAAGTTTAATCAATGTTTTATATTTTTGTGGTAATAATTTATACTTTGATGATTGTTCAATAATTATAATATAGTTTACAGCTTAATTAATTTATAAAACATTTACATATATATTTTTAAAACTTTCATCACTTTAAATAAAGTAAAATAAATCAAAATCAACAATTTTTAAGTATTAAAAAAAAAAACATGTTTATTTTAAAACAATCTTTTATTTTATGACACGTTGAAAACATAAGCTCATTTAATCTAGCATTAATAACAACTTTGATCATATATTTAATAAGCACCATCACAGTGTTGATTAGGGTTTATACCCTCGTATACTTCTGGGAACGACAACAGAAAAGGAATATTTTCAGTACTTGGGAATTCTCGGGACTAAAAACTATCAAAGTTATAAATTATTTTTCAGTAGGTAATTCATATTTCTCTTGTTATTATAAACAGTCGTGTCTCTTGATATATACATATATATATATATATATATTTACATAAGTCTTATATGGCTATTTATACAACTCGAGTACTGATATATTATCAGTTACTTGTAACAGATACTATCAGAGTACTTGATATATAGAGTACTTATTAAATTGCTTTTATATTCTGAGAGAAATAAGGAAAATTTAAAAACAATTATACAAATGTTTTTTTTTTTTTTTATTATTATTGATGATCGATGTAACACTAGGAACACTAACCAATTTCATATGAAATATACATTTATTACATATTATACAAACATATAGTTTCAAGTATTTAATTTAGAACCATTATTAAGATTTCCAAAGACCAGGGCGAAAATACACCTTTCAGATATTAAATCTAATTATTGCTAAATTAAATAAATGATCATGCAACGATGTTGTTCTCAAACAGTTTTTTATGAGTTTTAACTTTAATAAACTTCTCTCAGCACTGGCATTATAGTTATGGGAAAAGTCAATAATATTCTTAATGCGATAGAAATGTTTGGAAAAGTATCGCATGTTGATTCTATTAAACCAAGACACTCAATAAGTGTTTTTTCTTCAAAATTCTACAAAATATTTTTAACTCGTCAGAAAGATATATCCCATTTAAATCAACATTTTCACTATATTTTTAAAATCTTTTCATAATATTTTATCCTTAAATAATTTCAAATTTTCTATATCATATAAAAATTCTCAGCTATTTGACTAATGAGATAATTATTCGAAGCGTTGATTAATTGATATAACAACTTGATATACCACTATTAAAAAATATTCCTGATAAAAATGTTGTTCATTAGAAAATAGAAACTGTAAGTGAATCATTATTTTCATATTGAAATCGCTTGCTTTTTTAGAACTATAGATTGTTTAAAAATTGCTTGAGTCTTTAAATATTTTTTGTGTTTTTTTTTTTTTTTTTTTTTTGATAACTCAAAGCTCATTTTTAAAATTATTTTAAACAACATTAGAACCACCTAATAACTGAATAGCATTGCTCAATTTCATATTCTGAAATTTACTAATTCTATATTAGCAGATAGTATTCACACCAAGTTATAACACTTAAAAAAAATAATATGAACAAATTCATAATTATTCACCAAAGACAAACTTTTGCTTTTCATTTTAGAATCTTTTGTTGATTCATTGACTTTTATTAAAACATCGTGTACTTAGCACAATTTAAATCAAATGGGTTAAATCGATTTAACCCGAAATTCTCATCTGGTGTCTGACATTAGCCTTAAAATAAATCGGAAACGTACTTGAAAGAATAGTGCATCTTTTAGTAGAAGCACTAAAATTGTATAAATTCTTTGAATTACATCGAAAAATGTCATAGAGGCTAATCCAGACGATGCTATATCCTCGAAAAGTTAAGGCACGTTACAAAATATGTTCTTAGATTTTCTGAAATAATTCGTAATTGTACTCCCTGTTGGCCATTATCATATACTTGACCACGAAAATCCTGCAAATCCAAGTTCATTAATTTTAACTGTTTTTTTTTTTATTTCTTCGGTTAAATTTGCTGTAAATAATTTGGAACACATCAATATGTTTTGCTCAAAACTCTATAAGTAGGTATATGCAAAAATCATTTTAAGAATACTACGCCAATATTCTTTTTCAATATTTAAATGATCTTATATAATATTATATACATTTTTATGAAGATCAAGTATCATACGTAATTGTATCCATATTTTTTGAGCTGACTTGGAATAGATAATTCGTTTTCTTTTAAACGTTCACTAATCTATTTGCAATTTGAAAATCCTATTGGTACTAAAAATTATGCAGCTTTGATGGGAAAAACGACAATAGAGGCAAAATACTCGATTTAAAGATTTAGAATAAAAAGCCAATTTCCAATCACGTTTTCACTATTGGCTATTATTCAATTATAATGTACCTATTACGTGAAATTTGCGACCTCCATCGTTAAATGAAAAATTTTAATTTTTAATTTTTGAAGGAGGTTTTTTAATTAAAATAAATTAGTAATTTGTCGTCAATATTTTGTGACAAAATGTCTGGATCGTTGTTTTTTTTTTTTGTACTTTCTGCTCTCAATGTATTCTTTTAGTTATAATTATTCATCTGATACTAGTTAGACGGTTTAATATTCGTCAGTATTACTATAGTTAAACTAAGCTCTGCTTTTTCAAAACTAACATTGTTAGTATAACTTGATTTGACTATCAATTTGACTACTCCTGGTATTAGCAGCAATACTATCATTTTAATCTTTTTTTTTTTAAATTTAATTTTTTTGACATTAACCTTGTTGTTTTTTTAGTAATTTTAAGTTTTCATTTTTCAGCACTAATAAATTGTTTATACTCATTATGTAATCAACTGCTCATTATAACATAATTGTATTTATCAGATCCTATGTCAACAAAAAAATAAATGAACACACACTAAAAATTACAAGGTACTGCAGTTAACAAAATCGATAAATCTACTATTTGTTCAATAAATATTATTTATAAAACCCAATTTCAATTTTACTATTTTTGTCTTTGTTTTCCCCCTCCCTTTAAGATGGTTCTGATTTTATCTAATTGCTAGTTTCCCCGGATAATCACGTTAAGTTGTATATTTCAACTTGAACTGCGTTAATATTAGAAATAAGTATAATATGAACTAGGGTCTAGAATAGGGTGGCCATTTCAACAAAATAAAATAACAAGAAAGATGTTACTCCCCCCTCCCAAAAAAAAAACTAGATCAAAACAACCTCACCATATACATTCACATATATGCACACAACTATAGAGCGTAAAAGTCCAAATCTGTGTAAGTCGATTGAAATCTAATTTTTTGTTTTTATATTTTTAAATAAGTCAATATAAGTACTTTTTAAATTAAAATTTAACAAAAAAATTAGAATATTTAAACGAAATAAACCATTATTTAATCTAACAGTAATTAAACTGTAATTTGTTCCATCAGTTTCTGCAGAATGATTACCGTGAATTTTTGTATTTTCAGATTATGTTTCTAAAAATGTCTTATCAATAGTGTTGATAAATTAAGACTAATTTTCTAATATTTTACACATTTTTATTTTATATTTACATATTTTTATCTTATCACAAACATTGTTATTTTGAAAAAATCACTAAAACGAAGTATTTGAATAAAAAAATACAGTCCCACAAACATCCCGATAATTGTATTAAATAGCTAAATAAGTTGCCAACCACTCCTCAGGTAGATAATTACGTTTTAAATAATTAGTTACAGAATTTAATTTAAAATCGAAAATTTTGATTATACGTTTAAAATTTATTTCATATTGAAATGTAACGTTAATAATACGTATTTGCGGCATAATTAAATTGTTTTTCAGGTTTAGGAAAATAATAGAAATCAACGGATGTTGATTGCCTTCTCAATTTATTAAAACAAACATTAAGAAAACATGACAGTTGGAATTAAACTTATAGAACAGCAAAAGCGCTCGACGAGAGTAGAAACATTTCGTAGCGTAAAATCCATTAAATAAATGGACGACTTGTTTGTTTTTATGATAATAAGAATGAATAAAATTGTCAAGTAAAAATATTTTTACAATTAAATTTACAATTAAAGTAAAATGAGCTGTTTGATATTTTCATTTAAAAATATATAAAATGGAAAAAATCAAAATGTTTTCAAGAATATATAGGTATCTTAATATTTAGCAGCGAAAGCATTTCAAACGTTTATAATAGATTATAAACAATAATTCATAATTAAATATTACTGTAATAAAATATTTTTGTTCTAACACTACACACAGGTTTATATTGTTATAGTATTAAAATGACATCTTCTGCACATTTTGTAATATATTTCGATAGCAACTTAGTCCTCACCTTTCCTACCAAGCGAACGATGTTTACACTTCATTTTATATCGATTCAGGAGGTCGGGCGAAAGAAAGAACTTCCATAAAATGGCTTGGCATTCTGTTCGTACGACATTTATTAAAGCAAGGCAACTATTCTTTAACGGACGAGATCCGAATTTCAATATAATGAATTGTTATCTTACAGTTTCCATAATTATTTATATAACTCAACAGTAGTGTTATAGGTACTTAGTACTTACCTAAAATTAATTTCTAACATTTCAATCTGTCGTGGTGTATTTTTTCAGATTAATGGTTTAAAACTTTAAGTACGCTGTATAGTAAATAATACATACTTTAATCGAAAATCAAGTGAGATAATTATCGTTTGTTTCTTGACATAATATTCATTGTTATATTTATACAATTAAAAATATACACATGTTTACCTATCAGATGATACATTGAAATTTAAGTCTAAAATTAATCAATAAAATTAATTTCATCATCGAAATGTTTAATTTAGATAGTTTATGAATTAATATCCGGGTAATTCAGTTGTCTATTGTTAGAAAATATATATACTTATATATGCTAATATTATAAGTAAAAATAAATGTTTTGTTACTTACGTCCTCTGAGCTTCATTTTTCTGACATTGATTACTTCCCGGTGTCCGATGCAAAACGTGTTCGGATTGTTGCTGTCGTTTGGGAACTGCGTGCAGTCCCGGTGTTCGTGGTACGCTTCAAATATGTCAAAAAAGAAACCACAACTTCGAATTGTCTCTATTGTTTGAAAATTGAACAATTAATATAGACGTAGCCAATATATTTTTACAAATTTTTCAGCTTTCTGTTACAATTCATGCCAAAAATTCGAGAAACGTGAACAATTATATTATTGTTTATAGACGTGGTAATTTTAAAAGCCTACTTATTTCGAGCGATTACTTTCTAGTACTTATCTAAGGTACCTAAATCTTATAAATATTTGCGATAAGTCTTTAAGCTTCTTTTTATTACTTATCTTATTATATATTGTTTATTTAAATTTGTTTTAAAAATAAATATGACTTGATAAATAAATCTTTCGTTTTCACGTTTTGAAGCATTGGTTTTTTTAAATATTGAATCACATTCAATTTTTTCTTATTTATAATATCAATATTTTGGGGAATATCTAAAATTGAATTGCTTTTAATACTATTTAGCTTATTTCTCACTTAAACCAAGGATTTAAATTTATAAAATAAAAACTGTCTCAATACCTTATGTATTTATTCGGCTTTAAAATGTAAACAATTAAATATGATTTGTTATTAAAAGAATAAAAAAAATAACCTAAACAATTATGAGAATTTTTTTTTAATTCAATTATCGACTGAGATAAAAAAGTGATGTCTGTTCAAAAGAATCTCAGTAGGTATATTGCATACGAATTGTTAACATTTACTGTATACATATGTTTACCTTTACAAAGCGACTGACAAGGCTTCAATTTACGGTCTCCACAGCCTTTAGACGCAAGAAGCGCACAAAAGTATAGCGCCGTCAACTCATAGCAACGGACATTTACCACAGATTCCAGTGCTATCAATTCTCTTGGATCCTTTTTATACCATGAAAGTAAGTTTAGTTTATTAGTGCATGTTTGTTTCAACATCAAAGTACAATTCAATCGTAACTCGAATCGAAAGAGAACATTGTCTAATATGAATAAATCAGTGTCGGTCTTAAAATGTTAATTTAATATATTATTTCCAACAGAGAACGGGACCCCAATTAAAACGACGATAACTATTATACACCCGGTTTGAACTGGTCGTTAACATATCATGTCACAAGCTAATATATCTTTACGGACTAAGTATAAAGATACTGGATGTAAAATGTAAAATAGATAATGTTTTAAGACAATTGTTGACAATTTAATGCATGTCTTAAACATTTTAAAATTGTATAGAAGTATTTATTGAATTACGACCACAACTGATAGCGCTACTTCTTATGGTTTCGCCATCACTAGTTACATTGCACACAGTACACACACGTGCACTTATTATTTATATGTTCTCTTTCGAGTGGCATCTGATATCAATAACTTGTAATAATAATTACGTATTCTGTCTTGTAAGGTATAGTGTACAGGTACTGTGGTAAGGTGGATGTGACGTTTTGACAAAAAGACGGTAGGCAAGTGCCTGTGCAGTAAAATTGTGCATTAGTGACAAAAATAAAATACAATGTGACGTGTATGATCAATTCATTATTCTACATAATATAGTATAATATATTTAAATTGCTATTATATAATTATTGTCATAATGATAACTTAATAAAACCGTGTGTAGCGTGTTTTTAAACATTTGATTACAAAATTAGTTAAAAAAGTTATTTTATAGTTGGTTGTTAATCGGTTTTTAATTCGTCAGTTTATTTACTTTCATTTATTTATAAAAAGAATAAGAGTACGTTAAAATCTGCTATACGTAATAATTGGTATTTTTTTTACTAGAAGAAAACAATACGTTTTTTTTCGCATGCTCATTATAATAATAAAACTAAAAACATTAATTATGTTATAATACTATTTATTTCTAACTCTGTGAAATAAAAAAATGTACTAAACGAAAAAAAATCTGTATTTTGCACTAAAAACGTTATTAAAATACTCGCGAGGGTTAAATATTAAAATTGTATAATAAGTAATATAAAATAAAAGTAACCCGTCAAGTAATAATTTGATTATAATAAACTTATTTTTAACTCGTTAAAATTATTTGCAGCTTTTAATACAAGTACTTACTGAATAAAAGTATTAACCTGTAGTTGGACTTTTTTTACAGTTTGGCGCGTAACGTTATGTTTTATTTTTTATTTTTTAGTGAATATTATAATATTATAAGTAATGGTAGGCTTGCTATTCGTCCCGGTTTTAACAGCATGTCCCGGCCGGTCATTAATTTTGTCTCGGTTAATGGGAGCCAAGAGAAAATAACTTTAATATTGCATTATTTAATAATAAAATATAGAATAATATTGTACAATATAGTATCATTATATCATTATCGTATTATATTATCTAAATGTTATCGACATGTTTTCAGGTTTATTTGTCTTTCTTTTTTTTTTAAAAAAGCTTTAGAAATTTTAAACTTGAGACTAAAAAAAAGGTTATTTAATAATATGATGTCTCGGTTTGGTGATTCTTAAATCTGGCAATCATAAATTAAATATTAGAAGCAGTGATATTATTATGACAATTTTTATAGACACTAAAACGGCTGAAACGCTACACACGGATAATATTAATATTTAATGACAATAGGTTTGGATTTAAATATATTATGTAAATAAACAACTATAATTTAATACACCTATAATTTACTACAAATAAGTGCGACAAAAGTTAAGTTTGGATTTTTCGGAATCGTTTATATTCGTATAATATTGTTTTGCGTATAGCAACCATACAGAACATATATCTGCTAATAGATTTATTTTATACTAACACTTTTATAGTATATATGAAAAAATGAATAAATTAGTAAACTAATCCCCGTTTATTATTTTATAATGAATTTATTCAAATTTTAATTTTCTTTTAATTTTATATACAGGTTCTTAATACCACGTTTTTAAATTGTTTTTTTGTACTACTTAATGAGTGTCTTATGGAAGTAAAAATTCTGTTTTTAAAATTAAAACTCCTTTTTTTCACTATAAATAATTATATAGTGGATAATTTGTCTAAGATTTTGATAGATGTATCTAATTCAAAATTCAAACCAGTAGATTTTATAGTTAAAATATTTATATTAAGGTTAAACATTTTTAAAAATAGTTTTATAAAATATAAATTAGTTGTATTATTGGATCTAGTATTTATTAAACTTAAACCTTCTTGTAAGTTATAAATATTGGTAGATTAATATAAATTACGAAAATTACCATGAACCCTATATATGTTTCAAAGTATTATTTTGGCTCTATTATCCTTGGTACAAAAAGTTAATTAATTCAAAAACTACTATTTTGCTAGGTAAAATGTTTAGTGTTTTGTTAAATAATCAACTTTTTAAAACAAAGATTCTTATTTAAAAAACAGAAGTTTGTGTTTTTACGAGACACTCTTGAGTAATGCAAAAAAATTTCAAAAATGTTTAAATATTTTCTTGGTATGATTAAAAATTCCAACAACCAGATTTTGAATAACTACGTTACTGAAGTAGAAAAATAAGAGACATGCTTGATATAATATAAATTATAGTTATATTAGGTATAATAGACAAAACATTGAACATTTTAAGTTAATGATAAATTTCGTTATTATTACGCACTAATTTTATCAGCAGGTAAGATGATTATATTTACTGATACATGATAATCGTTAACAATGCATTTGCGTAAAATGTACAAAATAAAACTACCGTTGATGTTAGGCATTCTTATCCAGTGCACGAGATCGTGGTTAAAATAGTAACAGAAAATAATATAGGTACACTATCATAATTTATAATCACAACATTTTACATATTATTTATTATCATGAATATATATTTTATACAATACCGGGACGCGCTACTGGCGAGGCGTTATGCAATTTATCGAAAACTAACCTTTTGTGTTCGACGTTTGCCCTCTTATGACCTAACGAAACTATTGTTCAATTCGATGTTATACGAAATTGATTGTACCAAGAAAACATAATTATTATTTCAATAAAGTTTACAAATCGTTAATAAATACAATATTATTGTTTGACGGGGACGTTGCCTTATGGTTTTAGCGAACGTATTTTTTTCATAATTATGTAAATACGTAGGTAGCCATTGATATATTATACATAAGAGCAGGTACTCTACACAACGGTCTGTTTGATTTTATAATACGTATTTTCATACCATTTATTATTATAAGACCCGACCGGTGGTTTTCAATCGACCGGCGTACCAAATCCCAAAAGGTATTATACGACTCTTTGATATAATGAAAACGAAAACTTCGATGTAACATTGCCTTGCCACCACATACACGCGACTGTGTGTATAATATGTGTATGATATGATACAAATCCGAAAAATCCAAAACGAAACTCGCAAACGTATATTATAGTATATGTACATAATACATATATTATATTTCCAATTACAAAATTGCATGCACATCCGAGAGAATATAAAATATCTTGTTATTATACAACTACATTACACTGTGTATGTATAAAATGTGCGTTTGTGCATGAAATATATTTTTTTTTTTTAGTTAAAATTACTTTTGGGATAGTTGACGATGGGATACATGGGATTGAAAATGGAAACGTCGTACATATCTTCAACCGCCGGCGGATTCGGCAAAATAATTGGAACGTAATTTTTTTTCGGAGTCGAAGCTGAAAAAAATAACACACAAAGTAAAAACAATTATTGTTGAAATCGTGCACCTCATACCACCAATATATACCTATGTGGAATCTCAAAACTATGTAAAAGCTAATTTTTAAAGTATTTTAAAATTATATTTATACATACAAGTAGGTATAGTTGTAGTGAATCTATTACTTATTGGGTACATATTACACTAATAAGCTATTTTATTTCACGAAAAGGCTCGTTTTGTTGGATTACTAAATTAAAAATGTTAATACGATAATATAGACAATGACGTTCAACTTTTTGGTGCAACGCTATTATTAATAAATTGATCTGTGTTAGTGTGATAAAAATTAATATAACATATAAACGATTTTTAACGTTCAGGATCATGGAAAACAGTAACGGTATATCATAAGAGTGATATCGGGTTCTAAAGTGGTAGATAATAATTTCAAATGACGGAAAACATAGAATACGCGTATGTGTAAGAAGATGGCTGGCCTTGCTACAGTATGCTGTTTATACTTTACATTATGGTGTATAATATACATGTCTGCGCTAGGTATAAGTAAATACAATAATTTTATATAACATATTTTTCGAAATTTTTTCACCTGATATGTTCAATGACTGGTCGGTGGTGGCAACATGCATTGACGAAAGGTCAGTGTTAACGGAAATAGTCTTAAACGGCAAACCGCTGCCATTGATGTAGTCGACTGCAGAAGCTGCGGCGTTTGAGTTCCGCATGATAGTCGACGCTGTTTTGCTTATGGACATTTGATCGCCACCACTGCTCGGCAAGCCCACTATGGAAACACGAAGATCATCAGGGTGTACATTGTATGTTATGCAAGTCGTAGGTAAAAGCCAGAACCGGAAAAATGTTAAGTGTAACATCGTCGTAGGTATTTCGGTTTTTGTCAAGACACGATAGACAAAATTTTATCAAGTATGTCCAACAATAATAATGAGCTGAGTAAATTTTAATTATTGGGAAGAATGAATATAATTTTTAAATATCTATTTACTATATTATCTGTGAAATCTATCATCGCTCGTAAAAAAGTAAAAAATAAATAACAGTGTGAAATTGTGAACATTTCTCATAAAAAACCAGTAAGCACGTAAAAAATGCCAACATAACTTAACCAATCCTAGAAAAAAACTTGAACTTAACTTGAGCTAAAAATAAATACCTTTATACCTAATTTTTCGAATACCTCGGTTAGGTGTTATTATTTGGAGTGGGTCGTTTTTACAATTAAATTATTTATTTTTTATTTTCTTGTAGGTATATAGAAAAAGTGTTTAATGGTCAATATTCTGATTAATAACAATATTATATCAATGCTGTATTGTGTTGTAAAAACACTGTCGTGAATTTTTTTGAATATATTTATCTTACATTTAATGAAATTTTATTTATTTTTTTAATTAAATTTGCTGTTTCTATACATTTTAAATAACAAGTAAACTAAAAAATCGTTCAAACCTCCAATAAAATTAGTTCAGTATAATTATATATTTTTATGTTATTCTTAAGTTACCTCGTACAAAAAATATCAAAAGCACTGTAATAAATATCAATATGGCAATGTTGTACGCCACTTGTCGCCTTTGCAGCCGAATAAATACTTCGGTGACATCAATGGCTTCGGTCCCCAACACCTGTGAATTAATACCATACAGATTTAATGTAACTGTAGATAATCATTATTTTTACTTGTATTTTTTACATACATTTATTTAATTTATTTAAGTATTGATCTAGTTAACAATAATCATTGATAGTTATATTAATAAAAAGGTAGGTAAGAGGATATCGTTCTGTTATATATTAGCTAGTATCGAGTGGCTTACTATAATGCGTATGTTAAATTTAATTTAAATTATATATCATTGAATACAAAAAACTTTTGTGAGCGGAAACGGTTAGTCACTATATTATGTATATTTTATGGTATGTTTCTTTTTTTTTTTTTTTACGAGGTTAAAATAATATATAATATTATATTACTTTATTACTTATTATAATATTATTATTATTAACTTTTGAGTCAATACCATCTTACCATAAAACAGTATGAGTAAAATCATAGTATAAATAGGTAGAAAATATATTAAAATTATTCAACATATTTTAAATTTTCATTCCATATAATTAATCAAATATATAAACATTTTATGGTAATATGGTAACTATAATTACAAAAAAACAATTATTTTAATAATAATATAGAATTTGCAAAAAAAAATTTTTTTTTTTTTTCATTTTTTGTTTGTTATTTCTGATTATTATAAAAATTACTGACATTTTTTTTCTTCAATTTAAAACTACCCTCAAAGATTGAAAATTAAAGCTTTTTTTGACTATTAATCGTGTACTCATAACATATATATATTTGTAAAATCAATACATTTATCGTTCAGACAAGAATTAAAAATTATTTGTAAAAATATATAGGTGATAGACTTATAACAATTATTATTAACAATAACATCATAAATGTTATTTTGTATATTTTATAGTAGTTACTTTTTACCATAATAAGAACTGATATTCAAAATATATTTATATATTTATATATTTTCTATCCATTTTTATATAATAATATCTAGGTACAATCTACATGGCAAGGCCTTAGCACGATACACATTTGTATTATTCCCTCGGATAAACCTAAAGAATCCCTTAAATTCTATTATGATATGTTATTAACTATTATAATATGATGATAACGCATTGTTGTCACAAATGCTACCCACATAAAGGACGAAACCGCGAAGGATATACGTATTAATATGTAGAATGGACCCATTGGCTGTTATCAATGTATGATCGAAGATTTCAATAATTTAATTTAATAATATTATATTCGTAATATACATCTTACTTTTATATAGTCGTTGTGTATAAAAATTAATATAACGTAAAATGTATAATTCGTAGTTTATGGTAAATAAATATATGGCTTACGAATTTAATAATAATATCGCAACTAAATTTAATCAAGAATAATTAATAAATATGTTACGCTTTATGATTTTGTATAGTCTGAAGTATGTAATAAATTGAAATAGTACAAGTAGTATGTCTGTAGATGACTGCGAATATATTATTATATACCTAAAGTGAACAAACTAACGAGATTAAAATTATTTCATATAATATTAACTATTTAAAAATGTGTTTCGTTTTATAGCAAAAAAAAAAAAATAACATACATTGCTAGAAAATGTTTGTCATTTGAGTATAATTTAAAAACGGCTGAAGAAAAACTGCACAAAGAACTTCGAATTTTTTCATAGAAATGTAATCAAAATATCGGCTTAGTGAGCATTTTGGAAGTAAAATGAGACTGTATTACTTTTGCTCCAATGAATAACCTAAATTACGAATAACTAAATATTTAATATTATTTGTAATTTTAATACCCGATTTATGTCATTAATAATAATAATATTAAACTAAACTACGACCTTTAACATTTATTGTATGCCTTTAATGTACTAATCGAGTAAGAATTATAATTTTTAGAAATTTTAACGTTTATTTGTAAAAACATACAAAGATAAATATTTATTTTTTTTTCATGTATTATTCAGATAGCATTATAATATAATTATTATAAAATGGGATTTTTTAAACCAAAGATACTTATTATTTTGAACTATTTCTAAATAAAATTTTATCATACAGGTATTAAATCACTAATAAATAACATTTTGGTAAAAACAAATAAAATATATCGTTCCAATATTTTATGCTATGACATTTTTGGACAAAAACCTACCCTGTGTTTATGTTATTTAAGTTATAGGTAATAATTATACGCTTGTATTACTTTATACCACGTGACCAAGTCCAAATTAAGGGGAAGTAAAAAGCATAGTCCTAACACCCATTGATTTTAGGGACCTGTATTAAACCTAAAAATATATTTATTATGCATTGAAAAAAATTTAATAATCTTAGTGAATATTCAACTATGAAACAAAAAATGTATCGTAAAAATTATCGAATACATTTTTTAATAATTTATAACAATATGATGAAGTTTGTAAATCAAAATTAAAATTGTGAAAATGAGAACTACATTATACATTTAACGTTGAGTTCTATGAAAATAAAACCACACAGCTAAATCAAAATACTAATAAAACATAAAAATGAAATGAAATTATAAAAAAAAAATAATAAAAAAAAAAAATAGTATCCTTATAATAATTTATAATAGTGGTAGTAAAAAAGAAATTGTGTATAAAGGAAAAAAGAAAATGAGAAGTGAAACTCGTTATATATTATTATTGACAAATTTGTTTTGTTCCTAAAAAATAGAATTTCTTCATATAATTATATTTCTATACATCTAAATTAAGTTCCCCAACAGATTTAGATAGGAAGTCCAAAAAATATTAAGAATTGTATTTCTACTTACAAAATGTATGTTAATCCTTCATTTAAAAATTAAATTATTAATGTCGTTTTTAAATTTAATTAGAGTAACATTTTGATGAATGTGATGCATTGAAATTATTGAAATAGTTTTACGAAATATAATTGCAGAATATATTCTTTAACATTTTAATTGTTTTTAGGTTATATTTGACTATCCCAGCTTTTATAAATATAGAACAATTCAGATTCGAGAAAATGTAACATCATTAATTATATTATACTCCGAAAATTAGATTTTGCAATTGATTGATTTCAATAAAACTTTACAGTAATTTTCGATAGAAAAAGCATAATTGAAAAAAATCTAAGTTATAATTCTCTAACGACCAATATTGCAGTATGATCTTTCTATAGTAAACATAAAAAGCGTATAATTTTTTATATATTTTTTGAATAGCATAAAATTATACAACTATACCTATACAGTATATACAGTTACAGCCATGAAAATTAAGTGCCATAAATTAAAGTTAAAGTTAAAAAGGCCCACTAAATTCCGTGACAAATTTTAATTATCATCAATTATTGATCCTTAATCCGGTTTTGTGTATGACTCAAAGGTATTTAAATTTGGCGGGTGCGCATCCAAAGCATAAAGCTTTTATGTCACCTACAATATATAATTAATAATACTATTGTAATTTGTATAACAAATATTTAAACATACAATCACAGAGCGATAAAATAATTAAAATAATATATAGTGTGTGTACACTCTACACATTATTTGGCGGTGTACACACAATAACGAAGCGTTAGACGTTTCGTGCAAACAAGGAAACGTAAGTAATTAAAATGTTTTCTGTAGTTAAATGTATTAAGAGTTGGAATGTTCAGTAAATCGTGATAATCTGGTGATGGAAAAAGAAAAGATTGCACGCAAAAGCAAAAATAATAATCAAAGCTTCCATTGAATGATGAAAAATCGTAACGTTTTAATAATTCGTATATGAATTATTGTTATTATTATTATTATTATTATAAGGTAGTATATTATTAATGTTAGAAATATTAAAATTTCATAGAATTAACTAAAATTCTGGTCAATAGTTATGGATTTTTAACGCCGATAAATCAACCAAAATCTGGTTTAAATTTTAATATATTATTAACTAATATTGTAATTTATAGTTTGGTACACTTTCATATCCGCTTACCTTTCTGCATTAAAAGTACTATGGTAAACGTTTCAATAAAATATTATATATTTTTAATAATACTCAACTGAGTATTAATACATTAAGGGATATCTAATAATTATTTATTTAATAAATATTCAATATTGTGTACAAATTATTTCCTATCAGTATTGTATACGTGACATTTGTATGAGGAAATCCCGATTATGAACGGATAAATAACTTAGCCTGTGTAAAGGAAAAAAATAACAGGATTTTTAAGTATATAGGTATCTACTTATTAAGCCCCCCTCCAAAAAAAAAAAAAAGGTGTTAAGTATACATTTTAAGTTATGCCAGATAAGGAAATTAAACAATCTCCTAAATTCAATTGCCTAATTGCGACTTTATTTAGTCATATATTATTCATGTTATTGTGAATCCGGCTCAAGATTTCAATGAACAATTTAGTTTAACGACGTAAACATGTTTATTCAAAACAAGTGATTAGCCATTAAAAGTGGTTTAAGTGTTTTAAAAGCATTTATTATTTAATTGATATTAAGGAAAAAAATTTCGAACACAATCTCATCGGAGATTTGTATTATTCTAAGTATATAATATAGCTTGTTATAAAATGCACAAAAATCTTTTTTTTTTTTACATTTTTTACCCTGTATTATTCGACAAGTCATAGTTTATACTGTCGTGATTAGGAAACATAAGAAACACCGAAATCATTAAAAAAAATTAACAGAATAACTCGACACTAATTGGATTTTTTGCAGATTGTCAGAAAATCGTACAAATATTTCTGCGCATGATGTTATGATATTTTAAATGCTATCAACCTTTAAATCCGTAGAGAATATTAATAATAATAATATTTTATAATGCTCGTACGCTACACAGGCGATGGTATATTGATATAACACTTTTCGTACTTATGTGCCATATGCGTCATATATCAACCTGTTGTTCTGTTGAGGAGAAAAGGCTCTTACGCGAAATCCGCAAAATAATATAATATGCTTTCAGAAAATGTCTATATAAAGCTTATTTCTGTTATTTGATCTTAGAGAAATAATAACAACAATAGGTGAAATGTGTAGGTGTGTGTGTATACGCACGGCCACTTGTTGCGCACTAATTATATTTACCAGCACGTTGCCGAAGCGTCGTATACATTTTACGGCTGTCATCCATTACGTCCAGTTAATAATTACGTCTTAAATTTCATCGAAATTATTGCGTTTTATTTGGATATTATGATCGGGTATGACGTTCATAACATAAATATATTGTGTAGGTACACCAGAGATGCATCCCGGATCATTTTTTTCGAGAAGTCGGTTGGACGAGGGAAATTTACATATCATGACTATACAATATTATAATTTATGACCACACGTCATCGAGCTGTTCATGCACATATTGCACATAGTATTTGATATTTGACAATGGATCAATATAATTTAACAAAATATTTTGTTAAATGATTTAACATTGCAAAATTATTAATTATTATAAACCATCATAACCACAAAATGTATAAGTACACGAATAAATTTGGCGTAAAAGTTCTATTAATAAAAACATAGCTTTTTATTTTAGCACAAATGGATTATACTCAATAAGAATTCATTTTTTTCAACCAAATGTATAAACCTCAGATCACTCCTTGCAAAGTTGTTTACATGTATTTGAAAACCAGTCAACATCGATTCAACTGTTTTGAAAATTAGTCCGGACATACAGATTCTTCAATTTTATTCATTTGTATCGCTAAATATAGACTTGATGTCAGCAAACCACATATAATAGTGTTTTTTATATTTTGTGATATTTCACAATTTATATAAACTTGATATCTGAATTTTTACTGGTATTAAACATTTAGACGATTTATGACCATAATATTGTCTATGTAAGCGAAAATAATTATTTTATCATTAGAATTTGTTTAACTATAGACTATGGTCGATACTCATTAATATCAATTAACTTGAAACACTGATATGTCGGTCGTTTAAGACCTTGGTACCCTAAAATTGCGAGCAACTCTGTTAATAATACTAGTAAAAATATCTGTAAATTATACTTTTTTAAATATTACCCTTTAAACAGACTTAAATTATAACAACATACTGTAATTATTATCTCCATATTAACATAAATTTTGATTAATAGTTTATGTATATTGTTCAATGGTTATTTTTTGTCAAAGTAATATATGTAATTTGTATTTAATTAATATGATATTCATTAAATATTTATTTTTCTTAGTATATTTGATAAAAAAAAAAAATCAAATATTTAGTAACAAAACGCGTGAACCATAAATGTAATATAAAAAATCTTTTTTTTTAAATATATAATATTGTATGGCTACGTTTTATTTCAAAATTTTTATAAAAATGCATTAAAAAAAATAGCTCTCTCAATCCACTCATTATCTAAAGCAGTGCAGCTTATCAGACGTCGTTTTAGCAACTGATTTGGAGTTAAAGTTTATAAGGAAAACTTTTTAATTTCAATTACCAACCTAGAAATCTTTGTTTCAAAAGTTATTGATAATTTTGTGTAATATTAAATTCAAACATTGATTAATTAATAATTATAAATTACTTAAAAATATTATATATGGTAGTTGAAAAAATATTTACAGCTCAGCAAATACGTAAGTAGGTTGTTATAATATAATCATATCGGATTATTTATACAAGTACATAATATTATTCATCTACCGTGTGCTCAATAACGAACATTTTAATGAAACGGCTTTGCCGGACGTATTTATTTTATTTTTTTTTCAAACTAGAGGAATAAGAACAATACAAAAAATTGTTGTGGATTTATAAATGTTTTTATGAACAAAAAAAAAACAATGCTTCTTAATTGTGTAACAAATAACTTAAAAAAATGTCTCTAATTAAAAGACATATCTCTCATTGTAAAACTTAGCCAAGCCAGTTTCCGATTTTGACGTTTCGCTATAAAATTCTACAGCGTTCAGATTTATTTTCTAACACGCCTATATGATTTTTTTTTCACATTACTTACACAATATAAACACACAAACTTGATTCGGAGCGATCCAAATCACGGTAATAATTATCTATATTTACCCGGTGTTGCAGCGAGTTGGGCGAGTTTTCGTTGAACTCGATGACTGCTTGCAGACTTGCCGGCGTCGAGTGGCTCTTGGTCAATTCGGCTGTGCTGCTGGAGCTGATCGGACCGCTGTTAGCCGGCGAAAACCTGGCCCGACCATTCCACTGATCGCACACCACATACCTGTCTAGTATGAAACGTTTCTTATTGGACCTGAGCGGTATCATTTTGGCGTGCGATGACAACAGCGGCGTTTCCATGCTCTTAGTCGAGTAGCCGGGCGACGAGTTGACACTGAACGAGTCACTCCAGTGACCGCTGTCCTGTGAACGTTATTGTGATAATATAAAATATTATTATACGAATGCAACGATGACTAAAATCAACACGATGCAAGATTATAGAATTGTCAAAAGTCGGATTTCAAGGGTCAAGGTGAAGTTTGAGAAGAATGGGGGCTCAGTAATCAAACGTTTTAAGAAAATGTCCGCCCTCTCTATTAAGTTAGACGTTTTTTAAATTATTGTAGTCATGTTGCATAATTAACAATCATAATAGTTTATTTTGTTTTAAGAAATATCTGTTTGAAATCGTCTAAATATACAAAAACCCGTATCAAAAATTCTGCATTTGAATTTTCCTCTGACATGTTGTAATACACCAATAGGAATATGCGATTTTCTCAAAATTGTTATTATCTTTATTATAATTTTTTTCTACATTTTTTTTTATGTTGTGACATTATTCTGTGTAATTTGTAAACTATAATACGCAGATATATCAATATTAATACATAACTTGTATTACATCAGAATACATAATATAAAATATTATAAATCGTTATCTCAGAATGAAAAGGTTCTAACGTAATTTTTGTAATAGCTCAGGGGAATATTTTTAAGTTATAAATGGAATAACTTTTTTCACCGTAAATACTAAGTTACGAAAATTGTATGCAGTATCAATTAAGTTCCAAAAAACACGACTTAACTTGAAATTTTATTTTACCGCAATTATTGATTAAGTTAATAATAAAAAACTAAGATTTTATTTTTAGAATTAATAAAGGTTGTACGTGTAGAATTTTTTCATTCTGGGAATAAAAATTATTTATCAAGTTAGAATCTTTTCATTCTAAAAAAATATATTTTTGATTAAGTTAGAACTTTTTTATACTAATTAAAATAATTTGTTTTATTCAGTTATTCCAACTTACAAATGTAAATTATGTTCATTCTTTACATCACGTAATATTACAAACATTTTTATTATAATGTATTATATTTTAGTTTTGAAGTTAATTAGTAATTAGTAATTACCTATTAGGTATTATGTGACTTAATATATCAAATACCTACTACAAGGTATAACTCTACAATACGTGAAGGCGTCTTCGATGTCACTAAGTGGTGCATCTTAAAATTTAAATTAATTACCCTGTATATTCATAGACTCATATGAAGTTTAGCTTGTGCTAGATTAAAAGGGATCGTACCCAATTACGTTTACATTTTTTTTTTCATACTAATTAAGTTATAAGTAAATTATTAAGCTTAGATAAAAATGTAAATAAAATTATTTGAATAATAACAATATTTGAATGTATTTAAAAATATACATATAAAGAAAGTAAGATATATTTTTTAATAGCCATAAAAAATTAAGTAATTAAATTATTTAAAGATAAATTAAAAATATGTATAAATCAAAAAATTATAATTACTCATACTATAAATTACAAAATTCTCAACAAACTTTTTTTTTAAATCATATATTCTGAAATATACTTTCATAATACATTTTTCAGTATCTAAAATAAAATTATAACAGAAAAATATCTATAATTAACAATATTATGTCAATAATTTATACTTTAATGTGTATAAGACGTACAGTATATTATACCAACAAAACAAAAATAGACGGAAAAATATTTACATACCGGAATAATATTTTATTATAGTTTAATAATAATTTGTATTATTAAATATTGTATCAGTGGTGTAACCGTATTATAACAGTACCTTTTAATTCTAAGATAATATACTTAAAACCGTTTAGAACTATTTCATTATTAATTATTGTTTAGAACGAAGAGGTTTTAATTAATATTTCTCAGTTTACCTCTTATCATTCATATTTGTATGAGTTAGAACTTTTCATTCTGAGTATCTCATTAAATACATTTTAAGATTGATTAATACAAGAATAAAATATTATAAATAATATAAGCAAAAAACCATTTTTCAAAAAAAAATGATTTAGAACTTTTTCATTCTGAGACGACGAAATATAGTATAGTGTTACGACTTCAATTATTAAGTTATTGACAAGTGTAGTGAGTGACTTTGATATATGCATGTAAAATAATTCGGAAGTGAAAGAAAAGAAGTCAGAACCCTCCTCTCCCACACATTAACCGTGTAAAGAATTTAAACGACTTATACTGCACTGTGAGAAAATTAAGTCTTAAATCTTATAGGTATACATTTTCTTTTAGGAACAAACTAATAAAATAAAATAAACAACGTCAAATCTAAAAAAGCTGATGTTACTTTTCGAAAAAAGTACATTATCTTTGATCCGAAATAGTGTGTACACATTGATTCTTAGACTTTCCCGTTTAAAAATCGACAGAATACAACAATAATTATTAGCTATACCATGGCTATACTTATAGCATGGCCGTGTAAATACTATAATATTTTACTATGGAATATTTGTTATCAGCATTAAACATTGTAAATATTTCCTAATGTTTTAGAATAACTTAAACTTACACGAACGACCGCGTTAGAAATTTGGCCATTTAACTACAAGTGACACGTTAAAACAAACACTTTTCGAGGTTCATTTTGTTTCATACGTAATGATCTGCAGTCTACTTTTATGGTATATTGAACGTATTAAACTGGTATGTTATTATAGTTTGGTGTTAAAACACTTTTTAATTTCATATATTATATTCTACCATTGATAAAGTAAAATATATTGAATTATATTTGAGTTTTAAATACAATATTCATGTATAATTATGTACAATAAACCTATATTGTTTGTCGTATAATATCACAATGGAAAATCCGACTGACTATCCATTATTTGATTTATATATGTGACTGAATAGATAGTTAGAGATTTTTCAATAGCACAGTCCAATTATTTGCTTGTATTATATTATTTACAAACTAAGCCATTAAAAAACTTGGTTATAAATAATAGCAAACTGTCAAAAATAATGCTAAATAAAAAAAAAAATATAAAATTAAAAACTGTATTTATTAATTATTTTAAATTAATAAATTAGGGTTTCACTGAAAAGTATTCTAACCAACAAATATAAATCGTTAAAGATTATCAGCTTATCCTTACAAATTGTAATTAACTTGGGAAGCTTTTCGCCTGCTGTGTTTTAAAAGATAACCAAGCTTACTTCTATAAATGTTCAAAACTTTTTCCATTTTAATTTATCCAAAGATATATTTAATAGGAAATGTTCATAGTAATATGTGTACATTTGTTTAGAAGTTATTTAATGATTTTAAAAACCATAATATAGTATTTCTCACGTATTATATTATATTTCAAGTGAAAATGTAAAATTGGAAATAATCGATTGAAATAAAGTAAGATTTGTTTTTAATTAAAATCGTATTTTTACAGTTAGTTTATATAATTTTAAATCTTTTTTTCGATCTAGTTTATCATGATGGTCACCATCATGGGTACCAACTACCTGTTATTATTCAAATTGACTATGCCAGCTGTATTTTTTATCTAATGTCATTAAGTCAAAATTTTTTGTTACTTTATTTAATGTGTGAATGTATTAATAAATTAATCTTTCAGTATTTGAGAAATTATACCCAAAATAGATTTTAAAGAGCTTTTGAAGCTTTACTATTACTTTCCTTAAGGTCTAAATAACTATGTTTTACTGATGAACAAAAAAAAAAAAGGCATGGCTTGTTATGGTGTATCAGTTGGTCTCAGTCACTAATATGTTTTGAGGTCAAGCATCAGCTGGCGTCGCTAGTTTTCAGATGGGTGACCACCCGGTTTTTTAGCAACGAATCCATAACACACATACATACATACATATATGTGTTCCATAACCCTATAAACTCTATATAAAAAAAAAACTACTCAAAAACCTATCGTACCTTCTCACAGCTAATGGCCTCAGTTGCCGTGCTTAATATCAATAAAAAAAAAATTATGATGATCCGATTTTAAAATAAAAATGTATAAACCTATAAACCTTTATTTAACTTATCCACTTATGAGACTGTTCAAAATTTATTTTATTGAACAGTTTATTATTGAAATGTAGTAGAACAAAATATGGGTTTTCCAAGAAGCGCTTACATTTTGGGAAAAATACATAATAAAAAACTCTGTAGTGTAGGTTGTATATGTTCTAAATTTTATTTTAAAAAATGGACTTGCTTAACCCTTTGCGATAAAACCATAAATATAGGTATTGTGCACGTGGACATGCCAAATTCATAGGCAAATATAACGTTTATCGAAATACTACTTCTCCGTATTATCATCTCACCTGTCTATTGGGAGACATGGTCATGGCAGGCGTCATCATTTCATAACTCTCGCGGCTACCACCGTCCAGCGGTTCAGAAATGCATTTGATGGGTGGCGGTACTTTGAACCTTCTGGCGCGTAGTTGTGGTTGTTGCTGTGGTTGCGATTGCTGCTGTGATTGTTGTGGCGGCTGTGGTTGTTGTGGTTGCTGTGGTTGCTGTGTCTGTTGTTGGACAACGACCATATCTTTGGGATGGTCTTCGATGAACCCTCTGATGGTCTGCCGGTCAGTTGGTAGATCGCCTGCGCAGACATTTGTCGCGCGCGGTGGTGGAGGCAATTTGTACTGGGCTGGCCGAGGACCTATTACTGGTGGTCCTGGGTTTCGTCTTGCTGGAATCGAAGGCACCACTGTCGATGGAATAGCCGAGTATAATGTCTAAAAAAAAAAAAAATATAACGTTTTTATGAATGAATTTTGGCAAGGTTAAAACAAAACGTCAATTAGTGTGACTAATCTTAACGGTAAAGAAATTATACGACGGGAATAATTTCGTTTTGCACACACGTCGTATAAGTATTTCGTTTTTATTTTTCTATTGTAGTATTGAAAAAATAAAAATGAATATTTAAATATAACAATTGTAACTTCAACTGCAATATTATTACACAAGAACTTAGCACATAAGAGCGCCGGATGAAAAGGTCAAACTCTAAAGTATTAATTTAAAATCACACGTCTTAGATTTTATCAAATTTCAATTACGGTGTTGTATAGCCCTAAAGAGAACTTTAATCAGTTAACCACTTATTTTATTGCTTTGAAAAATACGACGGAATTATTCACGTTTTCTTTCGGTCTCTTAGAGAGCGTATACCAGCAATCAGCGTTATATTTATTTGACCATTTTTCTGGGGGTTTAAAAGCGTATTTATATTATATGTATACTTATACAGTTATACATAACAGCGCAACATCTTATTATGTTAGACTTAAGTAGTTACCAATAGTATTTTTTTTTTTCAATTATTATTATACGAAATCATTTTAGAAATAAGCATCACATAAATTATTCCATGTATTATATTTATATAAATGTATATTTAAGATTCGATCTTTATATTATAGATACACTTACAATCTGAATGCCAGTTTCAAAATATTGTAAAGTAGTGTATATATAATTATATAAAACACCATTAGTTTCATTTGATCGTATTTCTATTTGTAATTTTTTTTCTAGTTAAATTATAGTTATACAAATTACTACAGAATCAGTTAATAACATAGTTCAATATTTGTAGATACTGTGTTTTAGTTATATTTTTAAAGTTCGAATGGAATATTTATTTTTACGTTTTTACAATTTCAATGATGTTTTTGTTTGATTAAAATAAATATTCTTTGAAAGTATTTTCCACTAGTGCAATTATTTTTAATCGTCATAAATCTTTTTAAAAGCGACAACAGACTATTTTTGGCGACTACTGTAAGTTATAAACAATATATTAATATTTTTTTTTCAGCACACTAATTATAATAAATATAATATATTATGTGATGTGTAATTAAATAAAGCTCTGTAGTGTTGTTAGAGAAACTTAAATCGTATAACCGTGATTAGGTAAATAAATTTAGGTAATTTTACATTAGCTAAAAACTTAAAAAGTAATTGTTTATAAAAAAAAATAAATATTTTTTTAATTTAAAGTGTGTAAAATATATTACATTTTATAATAGAGTACATCCATAAATTTTGAAAAATAACGTGCAATGCAATACATATTGTATATACACTGCAAACACAAAGAAAACATTTTGAGTTTTTTTCAACTTGTATTTTTTGAATGGAGAAAAACGATATACTTAGCTTCTTGATTTTAATATATATTTCAAACTTTCTGATTTTAAATTACAGACAAATTTTTGTAAAAATTACTTAACATCAAGATTAAATTTTAGATAACGATGCACTGGAACTCAACACCGAGGAGAACACCAAGATGATAAAATGTTTGAAAACTACAGATTTGTACAACTCAATTTAAAAATTTATCATTAGCATATAAACTTTTTTTTTACTTTTAATGTTATACTATTGAACTAAAAAAATTTAAAACACTGTAAATAACAAAACTCTTATATGTAAATTGTAACAATGGCTATAGTCACCGGGTTGAACTAGGTCAATAAAAAAAAAATATATAAAATTGATATATAAATTTTATCAACGAATTTAATAAAAATATATTTTTATTTTTCTAAAAATTAACCTTAAATTGGTTAAATAGTGTAATCATTTCATGTGTTTTTAAAAAAAAAATATATATATATTTAAAACATCGCTTTAAAATTATGATTTTTATTATCTTTAAATCGTGTTAGTTAATTGAGAAATTTTTTTAACATTCTTTAAACATTTTGCAGTTGATAGATAACTAATAAGTGTATTCAATATCTAAATATTATTCTTTTATAATAATATTATTGATTATTATTCAAAATGTAAAAAGAAAAAATAATGTAATAATAAAAATATTCAGTTCGTTACATATTCAAGTACCTACTTTACGACAGTTTATATTTTTTTTTAATACACAGTATTAAGAGTTACATTATATTACAATATGCTTATCGGCTTTATTTTAAAAATACTTATGTAGCTATACATTTATACACACTATGTGCAATATTTAATAAAATATTATAACTATAATATTATAGCATATAATCGAAGTAAGCTACAATGAAAATATACTATATATAATATATATTACGGATAATCTAAAACTGCTCGATCTTAATAGTACTCAAAGTAATAGGGAGTTACAAAAACAGTTACAAAAAATGAGTTTTTACAAAATATCAGCGCTAATTCGAAGTCGATCACATCAAGCTAGAGGTCCAACTTTATTATTAAAATTACTTAGTCTACTATGGGTAATGCAAACTAAATCAGGTTTATTTGTATACAAATTAACTTTTTGTATATAAAATATATTCAAATTTTTTAAATAATGATCATCCATTTTAATTTTATGTAAGCAATATTTAAACTTTCACAAACACTACATTATAATATACAATTGCATTAAATTGCAAAAACTGCATTTATTACTAACACACATGTAACGCACGATTGAATTAATATAAATTATACAAAATTATCTTAAATTAATGAAATAGTTATAAAATTGTATGTGTAAAACTTATTTATCAATTATTATATTTATGAGTACTAAAACTATTATGAAAATCTATTATCCATAGGTATTAATTTTATATATGAACTAAACTTGTCATGGTGCTTTTTAGCAGGATTATTTAAAAAATATTCTAATATAAGATGCGTATACTCAACATTATTAAATACAAATAGAAATCAAAAAGGGTGAAAAGTAGTTTCATACTATTTATTTTTTATTGTAGTTCTGTTTATTTATATAAATACGTAGATATTTATCAATAGTCTTGTTAAATAATATACTCTTTAAATATATTCAAGTACAAACACATATATTTAACTATAAATTTAATAAGCATTTCAACTTTGTATTTAAATTATCAGTAACTTATAAATACTTTTAATTGTTTTTTATAATATTTCCTTACCTTAGAAATCAATAGAACCTATTTTATTTTTAGAATTTTTATGTTTTACATAATTATCAAACATTTTATACTGTATCATTTGGTATAAATAAATAATACTTTTTTTGTTTTTTATTTTTCAAAATATTGGAATTTAGAATGAAGAATAAAAACTACATATAAAATACATATTATTATGATATATATTTTTTTTATTTTTTTATTTTATGTAAACATAGTATATAATATATAATATAATAAGTATATATAATACTTAATTGAGTAAGTATTTATAAAATATTTAAATACTTTTACTCTAGTAAGATTTGCCAATAGTTCGTATTAAGTTTACAGGAAACAATATATCTCTTTAAATTAATTGAGAAAACGACGAGCTTATCCAGTTTTTCAATAAATAATACTTTATATTTTATGGTTTACATATAAAATTTACACTAAGTATTCTATATTTTTTGTAATTTTAAATACTGCAAGAAGACGTGATTCATATCAAAAATGTATTAAATATTTTGAAGATTTTTAAATTCATGCGGTTGTATGCTACCGGTATATTATTATTGAGTTTTTTAATTTTTTTTTTTATAGATTTCAAAAATTATTAATATAAGTAAAGGTAGGTACACTATATAGTTAAAACTTAATATCGTATAATATTTTAACAGCCACTAACTCATTAAACATCCAAGCTGAAGTTTTTTACCCTCCATATTTGTATTTTTGATAATACTGTTAAATTATGCAATGTAATAATTTAATTTAGTGCCATGTATACCGTCGTTTTTATTAAATTAAAATAATTAATACTGATGGACGGTCCACTTAAAATGCGTCGAAAAAAACGTATATTATGTGCATTTAACTAAAAACATATTCCATTTAATACTAAATATGGCGTACCGTTTTAATATATTTCGCTTGTTCTGATATTACGTAACAGTAAAATTTAATTTTAATTGCATACTTCAAAATGTTTGACTTTTTTATGTGTTTACGTGATTATTTCATTACGAAGAAAGATTAAGTAAAATCTTTAATTATTTCGTTTTGTGATTTTCATTATATCGTCGTTGTTATACAATATTATTTTCATAAATATTGTGTTTGGCTATGAATATGTAAATATTCCACCTGCTGTTTTCACGCATAATTTAGAAAAAAAAGATTATTTAAACAAAAATGTTTAGCATAAAAAAAATAACTTTTAACTTTGAAAAATAAACGCGTTCTTAATCTCTATCAACATCAAAAGTTACAACTTAAAAACACGTGATTCAAACGTCATGATACTTTAATTCTTCGTGACTGTCTATTGTCAAATAAATCAAGAACAAATTTTCAATGAAATAAAAACTTATACACCTATAATATTTTCAACGTTAACGAAAAACTCGAGATCTTTTCGACGTGTTTATAAGACTGTCAAGTCACACATATTGGCTATTTTAACTAAAAATCAATTTTAAAGCAGTTATCTATAAACTATAAATAATAATTCAAATTTTCAACATTTCAGATAACAGATTGATATATTTATTTGAGTAAGATGTTTATAAAATCCTGATTTTTTCATAGAATTTGTATGAATTAGAACAACTACAAAACTATTCTTTTTACGACTTGGGTTATTAATAATCTTAAGAAAATACAGTTTGCAGTTATATATAATTATAAAAATATAAAATATTCAGCAAAATCATTTAGAAAGCAAATAAAAAAAAAAAAATCGTTTGATGTCTCAGATAAATTCTAGCTATCCCTTATTATAGCGACAACTAATTGTTATTGTTAAAATCAATTCATTTGTTTGCAGCAGTAAAAATATTTTA